ACTGCCTCTTCTGAGCTCAGTGCCGCCCGCTGTCCCTCCACGGATGGCCTCTGCTGGAGGCGCAGGGAGGACCCCGATCACGAGACCACGGAATGAGGGAGCAGGAAGGACCCTGGCAGTCACCCTGGCTGGGTGGCACCTGGGCGTCATCTCACAGGCCAACTGCCCGTGACTCCCAGTGGCTGCGGGAGAAGCTGTGCTGAGGACTCAGAGGCTGTCCCTAGGCTGGGCCAGGGTCCAGCAGGGGGGACAGGGGAAGTGGCAGCGGACACGGCACATGTTCGCCGTCCCTGACCTGGTCCCCCTTCACTGGACAGATGGCAAGCCTGAGGCCCCGAAAGAAGACCCTTGTCAGAGATCCTCCAGGTGCGAGCAGCCAGGCCAGGCCCAACACAGACCCCTGGGCCCAGCTCAGGCCCTGGCCTCGCTGTGCCCCTTGTCAAGAGGGTACCGTCTTCCCTGAAGGCCCAGCGTCCCAGTGGCACAGCGCCCCGTCTGCTGAATCCTGGACAACCCCACACATGCCCCTGTCACCTTCACAATCAGCCCCGTCTGCGGCCACCCGGAAGCCAGGCCCGCAGTCAGGGAGGCAGCGGTAGGATCCCAGCAGGTTCACGCAGCGCTGTCCCTCCGGGCACAGGTCAGTAGGCCACGCACACTCGTCCACATCTGGGGGCGGACAGGGACAGGGGCCCCATGAACACGTGCCCCCAGGCCCCCCAACCCCAACTCTGGTCTAGCCTCCCCACATCGGCTTAGTCCCCAGCCCCAGGAACCCCAAGGACGAAGGTCCTAACCCTCCTGTTAGCTCTGTCACCTTGGCACCCCACAAACACAGAGGCCCCCCCCGCCCCCTCCGGGACCTGAGGGCTGCATCTGATGGGAGGTTTTGGACAATGCCCCGGCCCGGGGCGAAGCCAGCCGGGCAGGCGCAGGAGAAGCGGCCAGGGGCGTGTGGCAGGAGTGGGAGCAGGGGCTGGGCCCACTGGCGCACTCGTCCCCGTCTGCGGCGGGACAGCTGGTGGGCTGCACGCACAGGCCCTCCTGACAGCTGTCTGACGGCGCGCCCAGCCCAGGCTGAGGGACCGCCCTCCCCTCTGCCTGGGGCAGGGACAGGGTGCTCACCCACGCAAAACTCTCCCTGGGAGTCCAGCTCAAAGCCCTCGGGGCAGCCTTCATTCTCTTCTGCAGGGCAAAGAGGACAGGCCTTGAGGACACAGGGTGCAGGGACAGAGCGGCCCTGGCCGTAGCCCCGGCTCGTCCTTCCCTCCCGCCAGCTGGGCCAGGCCGAGGCGCCCTCAGCCTCTGTCCTGAGCCAGGCCGGCACCCAGCGTCAGCGAGCCCACTCCCAGCCCAGGCCTCGGCTGTGGGTGGTGTCATGAGGGGCTCACGCGGGCTGGCCCGACCGTGGCTGGCAGACACCGAAATCATTACTAAGTACAAAGCAGGAGACCGCACAGGCGAAGCTGCGGTCCTGACAATGCAGGGGGGGGCCTGGCCTCTGCTGGTGTAAGTGAGCATCTGACGGGGCAGCCAGCCCGAGGCAGGGTGGGCGCAGACTGTGTTCTGGGGGCGGGAGGAGACCGGACTGCCTTAGCGATCGGAGGGACAGCACCCTTGATGAAGCAGCCACTGGGTGCCAGGTGGGGGTCACAGAGACAGCACCTCTACTCCCGCACCCTGCAGGGCAGGCGATGCCATGCCCATTTCACAGATGGGCACACAGAGGCCCAGGGAGGGCTGGGCTCTGCCCCCAAGGTCTCACAGCCTGGAGTGGGGCGGCTGGGTTTGAACCGGGGTCTGCCTGATGTCAAAGCTATGCTCTTACCATTGCCCCATGTTCAAGGATAAACCATGCTAACAGGCACATTTTTAGCCTCCAGTGAGTGAGAATATATGGTGTGTTCACACAGGCCGCCAGGGGCTCGAAGAGTGGCTCCCAGGCCCCTGGGTGGGGTCTCTGGTGCCGGCACCTTGGGAGGAGGGTAGGGATGACTCAAGTCTTGACCCATCAGCATGGGGGTGGTGTGGACCTTGACCTTGGGGCCCGAGGGTTTGAACAGGAGTGGCCTGGACAGCTGTGCCCCTGTTGGGGTGTGGATGGATGGACGGAAACAGGGGGTGAGCTGTTTCAGCCCTGAGTCTCTGGTCTCTGGTCAGGGGGTGCAGGCGGTGGGCTGTCGCCTGGGCCTTCAGCCAGGTGCACTCGAGGCTGTCCCCACTGTGAGCTGGGGCGTGGGGGTGGGGACAGGGCAGGGCCCTCACCGGCTTGCAGGGCTGTGGTGAGCTGGAAGCGCAGGGCCTCAGCCGCAGGGTCGAAGGCCGCGCTGATAGCCGAGGCCTGCAGGTGCTGCACCAGCTGGGGCTGCGGGCCCCGCGCCGCCTCGTACTGGATGCTGTGGTTGCAGCGCAGGGACACGGGCCAGCTGTCCTGCAGGAAGCGCTGCGTGGAGCCCACGAAGAGCTGGCCGGGGCCCGTCTGCACGTAGTCCTCCTGGAAGTCCTAGCGGGGAGGGGGGAGGGAGAACATCTGGAATCGCAACTTCCAAACCGCTTCCTCCCACCACTGGGCAGCCTCGGCCGGTCACAGGGCAGGTCACAAGCGGTCTTGCCCATGGGACTGGAGAACGCCCCCCCAGGGACCGAGAGGCTGGGCCCGGAGTATCTTCCTACTGGTCCCCCCTGAAGTTCAAGGCTAGGCCACGCCCCAGCCTCTGCTGGGGCGTCAGGATGGCCACAGGCAAGACATCCCACTGACTCTCACGCACCCCTCTGTGCACCCTGGCTCGCCCGCACCTGCGCTCGGAGATCTGCGTTGGCCAGGCTCTCGGGGATGACGCCGTGGACCGCCACGTCCAGGAGCAGGAGGCCGTCGGGATCCAGGCCCCGGGCCACCTGGGTCATCGTGAGCAGCTCCCCTGCAAGCCAGCCCCGTCCAGCCGGGAGTCACCACGGGGAAAGAGGCCCTGGGCTCGGGCCCCAGTCCCCCCTGGCCCACCTGGGGGAGCCCCCACGCACCTGTAGAAAACTCCATGTGCGACTCCTGCCGGAAGCTGCCCCCCGTCAGGAGTGGCCGTTCAGGGCGCCGCCATGCTCTCCGGCCAGTGCCCAGTAGATGGGGGCGATGGTGACCACAAGTACCCGCATCAGAGGCCCTGGAAGGGGGGTGTGGGGGGGGGCGGGGAGGCCAGATGCTGAGGGCAGCCGCTCTTCTTCCTGCTCAAGGTCCCTCTGTGACTCCCTATGGCCCCCAGGAGCGCTCAGCCCCAGGATTCCCTGGACCAGTGATTGGATCAGAACAGTGGCAAAGCCCAGTAGCTCCGTCTTGGAGGGGTTGTGAAATGA